TTCCCCTTCGGCATCCACCAGGCCCGGAGCCACCGCAACATCAAGCTGCTGGAGGACGAGCCGCGCAGCCGCGACGAGACGCCGCTCTGCACCGTGGCGCACTGGCAGGACTCCCTGGCCAAGCGCTGCATCTGCGTGTCCAACATCGTCCGCAGCCTGTCCTTCGTGCCTGGCAACGACGCCGAGATGTCCAAACACCCGGGCCTGGTGCTGATCCTGGGGAAGCTCATCCTCCTGCACCACGAGCACCCGGAGCGGAAGCGGGCGCCGCAGACCTACGAGAAGGAGGAGGACGAGGACAAGGGGGTGGCCTGCAGCAAAGACGAGTGGTGGTGGGACTGCCTCGAGGTCTTGCGGGATAACACGCTGGTCACGTTGGCCAACATTTCCGGGCAGCTGGACTTGTCTGCGTACACGGAGAGCATCTGCTTGCCGATCCTGGACGGCTTGCTGCACTGGATGGTGTGCCCCTCCGCGGAGGCGCAAGACCCCTTCCCCACGGTGGGACCCAACTCCGTGCTGTCGCCGCAGAGACTCGTGCTGGAGACGCTCTGTAAACTCAGCATCCAGGACAATAACGTGGACCTGATCCTGGCCACGCCGCCGTTCAGCCGGCAGGAGAAATTCTATGCGACGTTAGTTAGGTACGTGGGCGACCGCAAAAACCCGGTCTGTCGAGAAATGTCCATGGCGCTCTTATCGAACCTGGCCCAAGGGGACACGCTGGCCGCGAGGGCGATAGCTGTGCAGAAGGGAAGCATCGGGAACTTGATAAGCTTCCTGGAGGATGGGGTGACGATGGCCCAGTACCAGCAGAGCCAGCACAGCCTCATGCACATGCAGCCCCCGCCGCTGGAGCCGCCCAGCGTGGACATGATGTGCCGCGCGGCCAAGGCGCTGCTGGCCATGGCCCGCGTGGACGAGAACCGCTCCGAGTTCCTGCTGCATGAGGGCCGGCTGCTGGACATCTCCATCTCGGCCGTGCTGAACTCGCTGGTGGCGTCCGTCATCTGTGACGTTCTGTTTCAGATCGGGCAGTTATGACCCCGGTGAGGAGGCCGCCCGTGTGAGTGACGACTGAGGCTCCCGTACCCGGCTGTTTTCTGTTCTGTTTCTCCAGCGTAGGAAGAAGGAAAAGAAAACGTGTGCTCCTCTGCCCCGTTCATATTTACCGATTGGGAATTAAAGAGAGAATTAATTCGAACAGTTATGAAATTAATATTTGCTGTCTGTGTGTATAAGTACATCTGTTGGGGTTTTTTAATTTTTTTTTTAACCAAAGTGCTGTCCAGTGTATTCAGAGGTCACTTTTTGTTTTTCACAGATTTTCTTTTTGATGTTCTTTCTTTTTCATGTTGTATTACATTTTTTGGGAAGCAAATTGACTTTAAAGAAAAAAGTTGTGGCAAAAGATGCTAAGATGGGAAAATTTCACCACACTGAGGCAAAAAGGTGAAAACCCATCCCTATCCCAGGCGTGTTATCCTTCAGATCATGAAATAAAGCTGTCCCATCGCCCAAAGCTCTGTGCAATAGAAACTGCTAGAAGGGTAGGTCTCGGGGCTCAAGGAGGCGTGTCAGTCAGTAGTCAGACTAGCGAACGATGCTGGTTTCTCCACAGGAAAATGGTTACCTTAGGCTCGGAGCAATCCGAATGGGTCTGTTTAAGTTAAAGTTGAAAATACGTACCTGACAACGATCAACGGAAATTGCTTCCTCACCACTACGTCATGTCTGCTGTCTGTCTTGACCTTCCACATGACAGTTCTTCACAATTCCTTTAATCATTTTTTAAATATTTTTTTTACTGCCTATGGGCTGTGATGTATATAGAAGTTGTACATTAAACATACCCTCATTTTTTTTTCTTTTCTTTTTTTTTTTTTTAGTACAAAGTTTTTAGTTTCTTTTTCATGATGTGGTAACTACAAAGTGATGGTAGATTTTAAATAATTTTTATTTTTATTTTATATATTTTTTCATTAGGGCCATATCTCCAAAAAAAATAAAGAAAAAATACAAAAATAAAAACAAAAAAAAAGAGGGTAATGTACAAGTTTCTGTATGTATAAAGTCATGCTCTATTTCGGGAGCGCAGCTGATCACCATTTGCTTCATGAATCAAGGTATGGAAATGGTTGCGTACGGATTGATTTAGAAAATGGTCACCAGTACAGACACAAAAGAGAAAAATACAACTAACAGGAAGAAATACAACTTCAAAGATTTTTCAGTGACGAGAATCCACATTTGTATTTCAAGATAATGTAGTTTAAAAAAAAAAGAGAAAAAAATCTTGATGTAAATTCCTCCTTTTCCTCTGGCTTAATGAATATCATTTATTCAGTATAAAATCTTTATATGTTCCACATGTTAAGAATAAATGTACATTAAATCTTGTTAAGCACTGTGATGGGTGTTCTTGAATACTGTTCTAGTTTCCTTGAAGTGGTTTCCTAGTAACCCAGTCATTTATAAGATATAGGGGAATACAGCCGTGTACTAATAACCAAGTCACTCGTCACCAAACCGTGAGGTCGGAAGGGACCCTTAGGGGTTACCCACTAGAGTGGGGAGCAACGGTTTGACTTTCTCAAATTATTTAGCTGATTAGCCTTTGTTTGAAGCAATCAACTCTGACACCATGGAGGTCTGAGACTTTTCAGTGTACGTGGGAGGTGGCTGCTGGCCCGTGAGGCGAGGCCTCGAGAGCTCTCCGGCCTGAGTGAAACTGCCTTTGACTAACCCGTCTTAATTTTAACCAGAGTTCAGTCTAGTCCGTGTTTTTTTCTGTGTGCCTCGGAGTTATTTTGCATTTAGTTTACTCCACCGTGTATAATATTTATATTGTGCAATGTTAAAAAGAATATGTTCTATTGTATGTGGTGTACATAGTGCAAAGTGATTATTTCTATTTCAGGGCATATTAATATTCTCATATTCCTTCCTACCTGGTGCACAGTAGCTTTTTAATACCAGTCGTTTCTAATTTAAACGTTTCCTTCCTGGGTCATTGACTGTTACTGTGTCGCAATCACCCTCTGAAACTGCTGCAGGATGAAGCTGTCAGTGGGCACCCTCTTAAGTCTACCTCTTCACACTCCCTCCCGGCACCGCATACCAAACTCCGAGTCCTCCGCCAGGCCTGTGGTCCGGGCGTCCGTTACCATGGTCACCCTGGGAAGAGTTAGGCAAGAGCTCACAGTTCTAATCCGAGCGAGCCGTGACTCTCGAGTGTCACAAGAAAAATTTTCCTGCAAGCAGCCTCATCCATCAGCGCCCACATCACTTAGTCTTCTTACATAGCAATCAGCCAAATGTGTGGTGAATTAAAAACCCATTTATAATCTACTTGAAATACATCTGCTTGCTAAGGACAGATTTTAGAGCTCCGAGCTTCAAATACAGAGATTTGTGAGAGGGGATTCAATATTATTAGAACTTCTCTCTTATAGAGTATGAATAAAAGGTGTATACAAACCTCGAAGTCTAGTATCCCAATCATTTGTCCATCAAAAGAGTAAAATCATTACAGAAGACTGTTGTCATGGTTGAGTTGTACTCAGTACCTAGAGTCCGACCATGGAGCGACACGTGTCTGCGCACTGACATGCCCGTGGCCTCTAGAGTAATCCAGGAAGACTAGCATCCTTCCTACATTCTCGCCCCAGGTTCAAGACGACCAGCCCGTGGAGGACTCAGCCTGCCTGAGGTCATCTTGCCTACAAACTGAGTTACTCTTTGTCCTAAAAATTAGTTGTTGTTCTTTTCCTATGAGGCTTTTCAGAAATTCACAGGATGCCCATACTTTAAATGTGTACAAAAAAAAAAAAGATAAAAATAAAGGTGCAAAGAAAGTTTAGTATTTTGGAATGGTGCCATAAAGTTGAGTCTTTTGGTATTGGAGTGAGTTTTTTTTAATGTCACATAAAAGCTATTATTGGATGGCATGTTCTCAAAACCAACTCAAATGTTTTGTTTGAAGTTGAGAATGACACAGAGTCAGTTTTTATTGGTGAATGTGGCCTATTCAAAAACTAGGTAAGCTGTTTTTTAGAAGTTAGAACAGAATGATTTTTTTAAAGGGGGGGGGATGAGCAGCTTGAAGATACAAAGTAAGCTAACTGCTTTTTTTTTTCTGCTTCTTTTATGAAAAGAAGGTGGCCTTTGCCCTGAAATCCATCCATTTAAAACCAGTTGGAAATCTTCCATATCCTATCAAACCCAGGTACCAGTTCCTGTATGTTCACCTTAAAGCAATGGTTCTCAACCTGTGGGTCGCGACCCCATTGGCGGTCAAACGACCCTTTCACAGGGGTCACCTAAGACCATCCTGCATTTCAGATATTTACATTACGATTCGTAACAGTAGCAACATTACAGTTATGAAGTAGCAACGAAAATAATAATATGGTTGGGTCACAACATGAGGAACTGTATTTAAAGGGCCAGAAGGCTGAGAACCGCTGCCTTAAAGGAAGCAGAGGAAGTATTATAAGTGAGCCGGACAGCTCATTTCTTCTCGCTGACTTCTAAGCTGTGTGGAGAGCTGAGGCCCAGCTGCCTGATGGTCCCTGCCCCTCTCCCCACCCCGGAAACGTCATAGACGAACTTTTAAAATCGCCAACAGACACGTGTGGTCTGCAGCCCACTGGCATGTGCCAGTGTTAATGCAGCAGAGATGTATTGAGCACATACTATGTGCCAAGTTGTGTTCTAGGCACTGAGGCATCGTTAATGAACAAAGACCCCGTTTTAATTACGTTCTAGTCCAGCCATGGGCAAACTACAGCCCGTGGGCCGGATCTGGCCCGTTTGAAATGAATAAAACTAAAAAAAAAAAAAGACCGTACCCTTTTATGTAATGATGTTTACTTTGAATTTATATTAGTTCACACAAACACTCCATCCATGCTTTTGTTCCGGCCCTCCGGTCCATTTTAAGAACCCATTGTGACCCTCGAGTCAAAAAGTTTGCCCACCCCTGTCTAGTCTTTCCTGTCAATTACAGAAATAAATGAGTCTTCTGGATAGAGTGCTGGTGCGTTGAGAACACCTAGTATAATTAATTTGTTGACTAAGAAAGACGGTGAACCTGGGTGTGGGGAGAAGAGGTGTTGGCTGAGACATCAAGGGCACCCAGGGAGACCCCAGGCTGTGGCCTGACCTTGAGCTCAGCCGTGTGGACGGACGGTCTTCGAGGTCCCGTCCACCCTGACAGGTGGACTCGGCTTCGGGTCCCTTCCTGCTCATCTTCAAGTGAGGGGCTGTGTGTTCTACCTGGAGGGGCAGACAGACAGGACCCTGTGACCCCAGCTTATATGATAAGCCCTTGGAAATTCAGGAATTGACTGAAACTGCTCGGAGACCTGCTTCAATATTTATTTTTTAAAAAAATATACTGATTTTTTACAGAGAGGAAAGGAGAGGGATAGAGAGCTAGAAACATCAATGAGAGAGAAACATCGATCAGCCGCCCCCTGCACATCTCCCACCGGGGATGTGCCCGCAACCCAGGCACATGTCCCCGACCGGAATCGAACCCGGGACCCTTCAGTCCGCAGGCCGACGCTCTATCCACTGAGCCAAACCGGTTTCGGCCTGATTCAATATTTAATAACATGACGTGCCCAGGCCCATCTCCAGTCACGGGGCTTCATGCTCTGTCCCCCGATTTCCAGTCCTGTGTCTGGTGGTGGCCACGTCCAGTCAATCTAGCAAGTTAACTTTGGGATGTAAATACAGGAAACCCCGAGGGGAAGTTGGGGAAAGGCTGTCAACTGAGTCCAAAATTACAAGACTCCATTTTTCTTCGTCCTGAATTTGGTTTTAGGGAGTTGAAGTTTTTACCCCAGCTTTTTCCAAAGTAAATTCTAAGCATAAGAGATCTCACAAAGAAAATGCCTTCCGTGTTCTCTTGGCCATCAATAACCCATTTTGTAGCATTGAAGACTGAGGAATCCTGCGCAAAAGAAGCTTGTGTTTCAAGCACTTCCTGACTTAGTAACCGGGAACCCTTTTATTTTGGAACACTATAAACCTACTGCCTGCACTGGCCGCAAGTCATGCCTGACTTCTAACCACGCTCCCTGCGTACTAGCCACAGTGCATTCTTATGCCTTAAACTGAAACACAGACAGCCTCACTGGAGTTCTGGAACCCTCTGTCGGTGTCCCCATAGCCTTCAGCAAGTTTCTGAATTTCTCTGAACCTCAGCTTCCTCGCCTGTAATATGGGGGTAATGCCTGCCTTAGGGTTGGTGAGGATTAAATAAGATCTATAATAATAAAGGTGTAATATGCTCATTAGACCAGACGTCCTTCCGGACAAAGCCGCAGCAGGCAGGGGCTGAGGCAGAGGTGGCAGAGACGCCCCCGCAGTGGCGGGCGGGGGGCCAGGGTCAAGGCCCTTGCACGAATTTTGTGCACCGGGCCTCTAGTAATTATATAAAGGCCTTGTAACCTCAGTGATCCCTGTTCGTGAATCCTAAACATGCATGTGCACATGCAATCTTCCTTTGCTGTGCGCCCTAACATGTATTTCTGACGGTTTCATAACCAGTCACACATCTCATGTGACCGTTGTTTTGGGTTTTCTATTAAAAGCCGTGAGGGCTCAGTCTATGGGTTGCCTGAGCTTAGCACCTTGGGTACAATTTCTGCAGAATTTCTCAATTGAATGTCAGGTTTGGACGCTGGGCACCCACAGCTGGTAGAAGGGCCCCCCTTTAATTTTGTGAGCCCGGGAGAGCATATCTCAAATATAGTCATGCAGTCAACTTGCCCTGCCCTGCCCTGCCCTGCCCTGGTAAGGAAAAAAAGTGGCCAGCAACGTATTTCCAGGGTCAAGCAGGGCGATCAGTGTTCTGTGGGCTAGTCCTTTTCATCTGATGCAGAGCAGAGCTTTCCAGAGAAAAGGGGCTGGTCCGCAGCTTGGCTGGCGACGGGCCTCATTCCTGGGGGCGGTGGAGGTGGCTTCCGGATGCTTATTTCCCGGAAGCTTGAGTTCAGGTAAATAATGAAAGGAGCTCTCATTTCCCATAAACATGGTGGTTAGCTGGCCCAGAACCTCTGTTCTCCAAACTGTACGGTCTTCCAGAGGCGTATGGAACCTGAACGTGGACCCCGCTTCTGAAGATGCCCTTGTTCACGGAAAGCAGTCCCTCCGGCAGCATCACATGCTGTTTCCGGGTGAGTGGTGCTTAGCTTGGATGTGGTCTGCACTTGGCGTGGGCATGACCTTCAGGCCTGAGTTTTCTTAGGGTCTCGTGAGAGCGTCTGGCTTGGGGGCTCTTAGAATATTCTGCCTAAGCAGTGACCCCTTGGGGTCCCTCCTGGACAACATTTAGGATTCTACTTTTTTTCTTTTCTGTTTCACTTTTCAGTCACCCAGTATGACGCGAAAGACACCTGAGGTGTGCGAAGTGACAAGGGACATATGGGGAGGACATCGTTGCTTATGTTGGGAGCATAGATTAAAAACGATGGTCTAACACGAGAAATCATTTGTTCCCGGGGGAGGAAGAGGACATATCTTCTACACGTTTCAGATGAATACACGTCCAGCGTATTTTTTAAAATGCCCCCCTCAGCACAGCGCTTGTTTTGCTGTTCGTGGCTTTTGCACCAAATGGCGTGAGCATATGGCCAGTGCTTGTCTTGGCCGGAGGACCTGCGGGAGAGGAGGACCGATGGCGAGGAGGCGCTGTGATTTATCGGATGAGTTTCCGTCGCAGAGGGAGCCTCGAGGGAGGCCTCAGCCAGGGCCTCGCGGGCAGGCCCCTCCCCACATTTAACACTGGATGCCCGCCGGCTGGTTAGTGGGAGATAGGGCTGCATCTGGGAACACAAGCAGGTGTGGTTAATCAGTGGCATTTCACCTTCGGGGCCTTGTTTCCAGAAAGTAAATGTGGTCCCGGTTTGGGGCTTGGAGAGCTGAGCCATGGAACCGGGCACAGTGGCGCCGCCCGCCCACCGGTCCGTCTCCAGGGGCCGCTGCTACCGGTGAGACGTGCCAGTGCCTGTGCGCTGCTTCCGTCTCGGGCGTCAGAGAGGCCCCAGTTCTCGACTCAGCGGCAGACAAGGGGCCACGTCCACTCCCCAGGCCTCCTCCCTCCAGGACTGAGAGCTCCTTCCCTTCCCACCCCAGCAAGGCCCGGGGCGGGCATGGCCCAGGCCTGCACCTGCCCCAGGGGAGCAAGCCCAGCAGGGCGCTGCCTCAGACCCCACCCAGACCTCTGGGGTCCTTTGGGTACCACAGCCCAGTGGAACAACCCCCGTCCACCTCCACGCCTGTCATTCCCCTCAGCATTATAACATCCTGGGTAAAGCCTGTGCCCGCCGTCTAGAATAAAATAGGCGAGTACCAAACCTCAGTACTTTCTCAACCCGAAAACAAATACTGAGCCCTCACGTGCCTAATGGAGTCAGTGTGATGCCAGGATGGAGGGGGCAACCCAGGAAGGCTTCCTGTAAGAGACG